TCCCTCCTCCCCTCCTCTCCCTCCCCAAGCACTCACCTCCTCCAGGCAGCCCTTGAACCCTGCTCCTACCACCACGCTGTCTAGCAGTACGTTGAGATCCCTCCCTACCTTTCCTCCTCCTCCTCCTCCTCCTCCTCCTCCTCCCTCCTCCTCCCCTCCTCTCCCTCCCCAAGCACTCACCTCCTCCAGGCAGCCCTTGAACCCTGCTCCTACCACCACGCTATCTAGCAGCACGTTGAGATCGGGGAATGCCTGCGGTGCGCGTCCGGAGTTGACGATTCCATCGTACTCTATCGACGCGATGTCGTCGCTCAGGTTGAGTCTCACGTCGTGCCAGTCTCCGTCCGTGACGTTGTACACCAACCCACGATGCTGCTCACCTGAAGAGAGAGACATGTGTGGCATGGAGGTAAGAGCACAGGTGTGTGTAAGTGACAGGTAAGGTGACAGGTAAGGTGACACCAACCCACGATGCTGCTCACCTGAAGAAAGAGATGTGTGGCATGGAGGTGAAAGAGGTGAGAGCACAGGTGTGTGTAGGTGACAGGTACGGTGACACTAACACATACATTCCCCTGCAGAGAGAGGTGCGTGTGCACGCGGCGGCAGCGTGGTGAGAGATGTGATATAGCTGCCTCAGCGGTGATGAGAGGGGTGACAACAGCATGATACAGGTGTGCATAGGTGACAGGTGCGGTGACAGTGACACGCGTGAGGTGGGACTAAATCTCAGTCACGCGTCATTGAGATATATGGTGACATTGGCACGTGAAGAGAGGTGTGGTGACACTGCATTCACGTGTCATTGAGAGATCTGGTGACATTGACACGTGAAGAGAGACACGGTGAGAGAGGTGATGTAGCTGTCATGCGTAGGTGACGTGGTGCGGTGACACTAACACATATACCCCCCACCCCCACCCCCCACCCACCCCCGCGGTGTACGTCCTGTAGCAGTACCGTAACACAACTCTACGTTCTACTTCCCACGCTAGCACATCAATCCACCCACCTTACCATATATACAGACAGCCACTACATTCTATTTCCTACCCATCTCAATCTACCCACCACCCACTTACCCTGCCCCCTCTCCCCCACACCTGTACGTTTCACGCACCTGTGAGGTTCCACGAGACTTCAAGGTCGTCGTTAACGAGGCTGATAACGAGGTAGCTTCCCCCGTCGCCGGCCATGCTCAGCACAGCGCCCCCTGGCGAGCGCGTGCGCAGACGCAGCGACACGTCGTTGAACGAGAAGTCGGCGGCCAGTGTGTTCGCGTAGTCGATGTAGGTGGCAGCACCGTCGAACGTCGCCGCGCTCACGCCTGAAACACAAGAACGCGGCTCACGTGATACCTTATTGTGCGACGGATTGGCATTCACATAGATTTTTGCGTATTCTAACTCCTTTTTTAATCCTATTTTGTCATAATAAGGATGCCTTCACGTATTTTTATTTTACAGAAGGTCATTAAATTAAAGTGTAATACTAGATATAACCGAAAAATATAGAACTTGGACGTGTAAGAACGTGGTTTGTAACATGTGCAAAACAGATGTTACAGTACTTGGGTAAAAGCTCTTCACTGTAAAAACATTAATTAACCTTCAAAAATCATTGTCAATTATGTGTGCGCGTGTGCAAGCGTGTGTGAGCGTGTGCAAGCNGTGTGATGCGTGTGCAAGCATTGTGTGCGTTGTGTGTGCGCCAGTGTGCATAGGCGTGTGCAAGCATGTGTTGCTGGGGTGTGTGTGCGCGTGTTGCAAGCGTGACTGCAAGCATGTGCGCGCGTGTGCAAAAGCATGTGTGGTGTGTGTGCGCCGTTGCAAGTTGTCGCAGCCAATGTGTGTTGCGTGTGCAAGCGTGTGTCGTGCTGGTGCAAAGCATGTGTAGTGGTGTGGCAAGACATGTGTGTGCAGTGTGACACAGCGGTTGATGTGCGGTGTGCAAGCATGTGCAGTGTGGCCTGTGCAAGCATGTGTGAGTCGTGTGTGTCGTGTCGCTTGCGTGTAGCAGCTTGTGTGCGTGGGTGTCGCGACGTGATGTGCGGTGTGCAAGGTGCTGTGTGCAGTGTGCAAGCGTGTGTGTAGCGTGTGTGCGTGTGCTCGTCGTGTGCAAGCATGTGTGTGCGGTGTGCAAGCGTGTGTGTGCGTGTGCAAGCATGGTGTGTGCCGTGGTGCAAGCATGTGTGGCGTGTGTGCGCGCCGTGTGTGCGTGGCAAGCATGTGTGCGTGTGTGCGCGTCTGTTGCGCGTGTGCTAGCGCGTCCCGCCTGGCTGTGTGTGGCGTGTGCAAGCGTGTGTGTGCGTGCTTGTGCGTGTGTGTCAGAGCGTGTGTGGCAAGCATGTGTGCGGATCCTTGTGTGCGCGTTGTGGCGGTTGTGCAAGCGTTGTGTGTGGTGTTGCTAAGCGCTGCGTCCACGGACCCACGCCCGTGTGCGCGGTGTGTGCGCGGTGTGCAATGCATGATGTGGCGGTGCAAGCATTGTGTGCGCGTGTGGTTGCAAGCAATGTTGTGTGCGTGTGTGCGTGTGGCAAGGCATGTGTGAGCGTTAGTGCAAGGTGTGTGGTGGTGTTTGCAAGCATGTGTGAGCGTGTGCAAGCATGTGTGCGCCGTGTTGCAAGCATGTGTGGCGTGTGCAAGCATGTAGTGCGGCGATATTGCGAGCATGTGTGAGGTGTGCAGCTGTGTGCTGCGTGCATCGCGGTGGTGCCAGCATGTGTGAGCGTGCTGCCAAGCATGTGTGCGCGTATTGCAAGCAATTGTGTGAGCAGTGTGCAAGGCATGTGTGAGGCGTGGTGCAAGCATGTGTGCGCGTATGCAAGCATGTGTTGACGCCGTGCTTGCAAGTCACTGTGTGCAAGCATGTGGATTGAGCGTGTGCAGCACTCGTGTCGTGTGCGTGTGCAAAGCATGTTTGTGCGCGTATGAAGGTTGTGTGCCAGTGTGCAAGCATGTGTGAGCGTGTGCAAGCATGTTGTGCCGCAGTGTGCAAGCATGTGTGAGCGTGTGCAAGCATCGTTTGCCGCGTATGCAAGATGTGTGAGCCGTGTGCAAAGCATAGTGTGCGCGTGTGCAGCGCCGTGATGCAAGCATTGTGTGAGCGTGCCTCTAGGTGCATAACCTAATCGTATCCTCGACCCCGGCTCTGTCCGCTGCGTGGGGTGCCTTTACGGGGGCTGGGCGCCGGTATGCTGCAAGCATGTGGTTGCGGATATGCAACGCTAAGTACCTCCGCGGGTGTGCGCAGTGTGCAAGCATTGTCGTGAGCTGTAGTGCAAGCACGTGTGACGACGGTGTGCATATGCGCCGTGTGCAGCATGTCGTTTAGCGCGTGTGCAATGCATCGTGTGAGGCGTGTGCAAGGCATTTGTGTGAGGTGCGCAGTGTGCGTTGCTTGTGCGCTTTTGTGCAAGGAATGTGTGCGCGTGTGCAAGCATGTGTGAGCGTGTGTGCGTGTGTGCGCGTGTGCAAGCATGTGTGCGTGCACGTGCTTTCCTGTGCGCATGCTTAAGCGTCTACGTGTGTGTGCATGTGTGTGCATGTGCGTGTGTGTGTGTGCGTGTATGCGTGCGTGTATGCGTGCGTGTGTGTGTGCACGTGCGTGCTTGCCTGCATGCATGCTCGAGTGTCTACGTGTGCGTGTGTGCTTGCGTGTGCGTGCGTGCGCATGCGTGTGCTCGTGTACGTGTGTTGCTGTGAGTAATACTTACACTCGTGTCCATCAGCGAGGTTGTTACACGTGGAGTTGTCCGGACAGGTTACGTTGTAACAGAAGTCTCTCAGCTCACAGTCCTTGCCTCTATAACCAGGCGGGCATTCACACCTACAGCAGGTAACCAATGCCAAATCAATGTTCTAGCCATCCTGCAACCAGCATGTATACACTACAGTTACACTGACATTTGTTAACAACTGTTGATATGCACTCGATGACATGCCGCATAATTTCGCTCGTTATGTATATCTCAATCTCTTCCTACATATGTCTATGCCTTTCTATCTTCATGTTATCTTCCTTTCTCTCTCTCTCCCTCTCCCTCTCTCTCACAGGCTCTTCTCTCTCCCCCCGTCTCTCTGTTTATCGCTCTCAGTGTCTCTCTCTCTCCTCCTTTGTGCTCCTCTCGTCTCTCTCTCTTTCTCTGTTCGCTCTCTCCTCTCTCTCTTCTCTCTCCTCTCTCTTTTCTCTCTCATCTCTCTCTCTCGGTCTGCCTGTCCTCGTCTCGTCATCGTCTTCTCTCTCTCCTCTCTATCTTTTCTCCTAAATCTCTTCTCTTGGCTTCTTACATCACCGATATCTATCTCTCTCTCTGTTTCTGTTCTCGTCTCTCCTCTCTCTCGTCCCTCAGTCATCTCTCCTTCTCTCGTCTCTCTCGTCTCTCTCTCTTTCCTCTCTCTATCTCTCTCTCTCTCTCTCTCTCTCTCCTATTCTCTCTCTCTCTCTCATCTTCTCTCTCTCTCTGTGTGTTGGTGTGTGTGTGCTGCTCCCGCCTCGCAACCTCCTCTCTCTCCCTCCTTCTCTCCTCTCTAATCTCTCCTCCACCTCTCCAGGATCTCTGCCTCCTCCCCTCCTCCCTGTCCCCCTCCCTTACGTGTAGTCATTCCAGGTGACAATACAGGTGGCGCTGTTGAGGCACGGCGCGGCGGCGCAGGTGTCGTCCGACGGGGAATCGGGAACCAGGTTGCTGGCTACGGCTACGGTCATCGAGGGTGGTAAGGTGTAATCGGGAATCTGGTCGTTGATGGGGTAGAACTGCACCAGCTGTTCGTTGACTCTCACGTCCTGCAGCGTGCCCTTGAAGCGGTCGTCGTGCGTCTGCCTCTTCTCACGCTGCCGAAACCACGACAACGATAATCATCAAACCACGAATCAATGGCTATAGTATCATTATGGTTAGGTTAGTGTTTGTTGTTTGTTATTTATATTTGTTATTTGTTTGTGATGGATCCGACTGATTAGGATCAATTAATCACTTGATCCTGATCTGCCCACAAACAAATGCTGTGTCCAATCACAGGTTGCTTCATAACTACAGTGAGTGCTGATTGGCTGAGACAAACACCGCCATATTGGATCCGTTTAGAACCCAGTATGTTAGCAGGATCAGGTTATCAGGTAGATGAAGTTTAATAAATATGAACAAACAAACGACCAGTACTTCTGTAATGTGGGACTTATATTACTTGGGACGTGTAACTAGCTAACAATACTATATAACTAGCTAACAATACTATATAACTAGCTAACAATACTATATAACTAGCTAACAATACTGTGTAACTAGCTAACAATACTATATAACTAGCTAACAATACTATATAACTAGCTAACAATACTATATAACTAGCTAACAATACTGTATAACTAGCTAACAATACCATATAACTAGCTAACAATACTGTGTAACTAGCTAACAATACTATATAACTAGCTAACAATACTATATAACTAGCTAACAATACTATATAACTAGCTAACAATACTATATAACTAGCTAACAATACTGTATAACTAGCTAACAATACCATATAACTAGCTAACAATACTGTGTAACTAGCTAACAATACTATATAACTAGCTAACAATACTATATAACTAGCTAACAATACTATATAACTAGCTAACAATACTGTATAACTAGCTAACAATACTATATAACGAGCTAACAATACTGTGTAACTAGCTAACAATACTGTATAACTAGCTAACAATACTGTATAACGAGCTAACAATACTGTGTAACTAGCTAACAATACTATATAACTAGCTAACAATACTGTGTAACTAGCTAACAATACTATATAACCACTCACGTTTCGTCCAAAAATCTTCATCGATGGAGGAAATCCGCCGATGTAGAAGTGGTCGATTATAGGTGGCGCTTCGGGCAGCGCTGCGAGCTGGAACTGCTCCGTAGCGTTGTCAACTGTTAACGTCAGCTACAACATAACGCAACGTAAACCCTAATTACATGATTCCGTACAACAGAAAGCAACAGAAACGCTACAACATGATTCAGTGCAACATAATCCAAACAATATAAACTGCACAACATAACTCCCTACCACATAATGCAACATTAACCATACAACTCCCTACCACATAATGCAACATTAACCATACAACTCCCTACTACATAATGCAACATTAACCATACAGCTCCCTACCACATAATGCAACATTAACCATACAACTCCCTACCACATAATGCAGCATTAACCATACAACTCCCTACCACATAATGCAACATTAACCATACAACTCCCTACCACATAATGCAACATTAACCATACAACTCCCTACCACATAATGCAACATTAAGCATACAAAATAACTCTACACAACATAAACCAGACAATACAACTTCATAGAATAACATGAACTGATCAACTTCAATCAACTTCATTCTCATCAACTTCTCATCTTCTATAGTTAATGCCTTTCCTACAGAATCATCTACTGTGGGTCCACCTTAATCTATCTATTCTAACCCCATACTGCTCACAATTGATTCCCTATATAACACGTATATAAATTAACACTTTCAAAGCACGCGTAAATTAACGCGTAAGTAAGTATACGTGCAAAGAAGCATTTCATAGGCTGAGCAATTAACGCGTGAGTGTATCCGACATTTCTTATCTGACCCAGCAATCTTAGATTCGTGTGGCAAAGAAAGGAATGCAGCAGCAAAGTCAAGAAATAGCAACTCAGACGATCACAGATAGCTCGCGTTAGCCAACAACTGTTTGCTACTGTACGCGATAGCCTCACACAAGCCAACTGCGCCATTCCTATAGCAGCGTATACGCNACGCGCCTGCAGGCCGTCAATGTATATATAATGGTAGTAATCTCCATGTTTGAGTGCAATGACCTCTGATATAGTACGTCGGTCATTACCAAAGTCATATGGAACTGACCAATCACATACACATGCAGATAGCGTTTCAATGGATAACGATACACGTTGTCAATTTTACGCAAAAACAAAACTTAACCAGACTCAATAAACGCTTTGTACTGTAGGTAATAGCTAAACAAATTTCATGTAATTTAACACGAGACCTTTGTGCGTTTGTTTCAACACGTTTCATTTCACTTCATTTCCTATTCTATTGCCCGCTCATCGACTAGCTCATCAGGCAGAATGCAGTGATGATGTTTATAAGAGGAATTTACACAGCCATGGGGTTACCGACACAGTTACTGGATGGCAAACCAGTTTATTCAAAGAATTTATTTCCGTGAATTTAACGTGAATCTTGAAGCTGATAAAACAAGTATGTAGTAACCATATGATATCATATCTATATGATATAGAAGATATATGTAGGCCTACTGTACTATTATAACGTAAAATCTAACAGAGCACATATATGTAACACTATAAAACACAGTAACATACACCCCCGTACAATAATACAGTAACGCAGACCCCCGTCGTACAATACGTATGCATACGTAGACCCCCCCCCTGCCCCCCATCCCCACCCGCCCTGTCCCTGCCCCGCACACACCTGCTGACTGTCCCACACGAGACTGATGTAGTGGTAGTCTCCGTCGTTGATGGGGTCACCGGTGGAAAACTGCTCCTCTACTGCGGCCAGCCTCACCAGTACGTACAGCTGACCACTGAACATGTCCAGTGTGAAGTGGGTCGGCTTAGGGAGGGTGGGGTCACTCCCTGCAGAATACATACATCGTATACATCATAAATAATGTTGGTTGTTGTTGTGTTGTTGTTGTTGTTGTTGCATGATAATGGTGTGATAGGTTCATAGGTGATAATTCGAAAACAGACCAAGGAAGGTGAGATACACACAGAGGGAGACAGAGAGAGAGAGAGTGAGATTCTGTGTGTGTGTGTGTGTGTGTGTGTGTGTGTGCTGTGTGTGTGTGTGGCGTGTGTGTATGGTTGTGTGTGAGAGAGAGAGAGTGAGAGAGAGAGAAAGGAGAGAGGGCTGCATGAAAAATAGAAGGTAAAACTGATAAAATAAATGTGTTTATAGTTGAGGGCAGGTAAACAGGAAGTGATAGAATACTTTAATATAATGTAATTACTGTGGGTATAGGAGGTACGTATACAGGATAGTTAGCAAATGTATGATTGGTACTAAAAAGAAACAAGGACATTATTAACCATAAATGCACAAGATAACAAGCCAAATAGCCTCATAACCCCCACAAGACGACGCGGCGACGTTAGTTGTTGTTTCCCCCTCTAGATGGCGCTACTCACCGAGGTATGCGATGACGCCCATGTCCGCGGTGGTTCGCACGAACATGGAGATGTCGATGAAGCTAGACAGATTCGTCTGATCCTGCGGCGACAGCTCCACCTCTGCATAGCTGACGTTACCCTCATAGCCGAACGTAGCCGGTGTCAGAGCTAGAGCACAAGATGTACTGCAATGTTAGATTTCAGACAGATATTGGCGAGAGATTTTAGCGATGTTAGATGATATCTGGCAGAATGTTACGTAAACAAGGTTTGTGATGGAGGGACCTGGAACGGACGACTGGTCGCGGGTCGTCAGGCATCAATGTCTCCCCAGTTCCTTCTCCCTCTCTAACCATTTCTTCTTTCTCACTCTCTCATTCTTTCTCTCTCGCACCTTCCCTCTTCCTCTCTTCTTCCCTCTCTCGTCCCTCTCTTGCCCTCCCCCCCCTCTCCTCCTCTCTCTCT